TTGCAGATCAATGGTGAGAGACTGGGAGAAGTTTATATCAAGAGAGGAATATTTCAAGGAGATTCATTGTCACCATTACTATGTGTTATTGCACTGTTTCCTCTGTCAACAATACTGAATAACTCAGGACATGGCTATCAAACATCAAAAACATCTGCCAGACTATCCCACCTCCTTTATATGGATGATCTGAAGCTGTATGGAAAAACATCATCTTAAATAGAATCGCTGCTCAACACTGTCCGTATATATAGCCAAGATATTGTAATGGAGTTTGGCTTGGACAAATGTGCCACACTTACTATCAAACAAGGAAAAATAGTGAAAACTGAAGGAATCAACATGCCCCATGAAAATAACATTAAGATCTGGATGAGGAAGAGTACTACAAATACTTGGGTATCCTTCAAGCTGACAACATCAAGCACACTGAAGTCAAGACAAAGATTAGAGGTGAATACATCAAGAGAGTGAAGAAGATCTTAAAATCCAAACTCAATGGAGGAAATACCATAAAGGCAATCAACACTTGGGCAATCCCAGTCATTAGGTACACAGCTGGAATAGTGGACTGGACTCAAGCAGAAATAAAAGCAATGGATAGGCAGACCAGAAAAATAATGACAATGAATCATGCCCTTCATCCACGCAGTGACATTGAAGACTTTTCTACCCAAGGCAAATAGTGGGGGCGTGGATGCTACAAGTACATCAGATGGTTGAAGACCAGAAAAAATGGCTTTGGAAGAATTCTTAAGAACAATGATGAGATGCCCTGAATAATAGTATATCAGGAAGGCTTACTGATTACTGGAGAGACCAAACTGGCCTACAAGAAAGACCAAATGAAGAACAGAATAGAGGCATGGGAAGACAAAGCACTACATGGCCAATACATTAAAAAATAGCTTGGAAAGCAGATAATAACAAGACCTGGCAATGGCTAAGAGCAGGAAAATTGAAGAAAGAGACCGAGGGACTAATTCTGGCTGAACAAGACCAAGCCTTAAGGACAAATGCATACAAAGTCAAAATTGAGAAGACAGCAACAGACAGTAAGTGCCGCCTATGCAAAGAAGCTGAAGAAAAAGTGGACCACTTGGTAAGCTGTTGCAAGAAGATTGCACAAACTGATTACAAGCAGCGGAATGACAAAGTAGCAACAATGGTGCATTGGAAGATCTGCAAAAAATATCATTTGCCTGAAAGCAAAAACTGGTGGGATCATAAAATAGAGAAAGTCATAGAAAATGATAAATTAAACTGCTCTGGGACTTCAGAATTCAAACAGACAAGCACCTGCAACATAACACCCCAGACTTAACAATTGTCGATAAGAAAGACAAAAAAGTCTGGATAGTGGACTTGGCAGTGCCTGGAGACAGCAGAATAGACGAGAACGAACTGGAGAAGATAACAAAATACAAAGACCTACAATAGAAATAGAAAGACTGTGGCAAAGGCAAGCAAGGGTAGTACCAATAGTCATAGGCTCCTTGGGTGCAATCCCAAAACAACTGGAGCACCACTTGAACACCATTGGCATTGACAAATTTGCTATTAGTCAATTGCAAAAGGCGCCCTTATTAGGAACTGCTTCCATCCTGCGACGATACCTGTAATACCATCAAACATCCACATCTGCCTATCCCAGGTCCTGGGTAAGGACTCGATAGGTAGACAAAATGCCAAATCCAGTCTGAACATCTGGCGGACTGTGCGATGATCGATAATAATAATAATAATAATATACTACCAGGCAAATAGGTGGGCGTGGAATGCTACAAATACATCAGATGGTTGAAGAAGAAAAAATGGCTTTGAAGAATATCTGAAGAACAATGATAAGATGCACTGAATTAGTATCAGGAAGGTTTACTAACTACTGGAGAGACCAAACTGGCTACAAGAAAGACCAAATGAAGAACAGAATAGAGGCATGGGAAGACAAAGCATTACATGGCCAATACATGAAAAAAATAGCTGGGAAAGCAGATAATAATAAAACCTGGCAATGGCTAAGAGCAGGAAAATTGAAGAAAGAGACCGAGGGACTAATTCTGCTGCACAAGACCAAGCCTTAAGGACAAATGCATATAAAGTCAAAATTGAGAAGACAGCAACAGACAGTAAGTGCCGCCTATGCAAAGAAGCTGAAGAAAGAGTGGACCACCTGGTAAGCTATTGCAAGAAGATTGCACAGACTGATTACAAGCAGCGGCATGACAAAGTAACAACAATGGTGCATTGGAAGATCTGCACAAAATATAAAATCATTTGCCTGTAAGAAAAACTGGTGGATCATAAATAGAGAAAGTCAAGAAATGATAAAATTAAACTGCTCTGGGACTTCAGAATTCAAGCAGGCAGCACCTGCAACATAACACCCCAGACTTAACAATTGGGGGTCGTAAAAAAGCACAAAAAAGTCTGGATAGTGGACGTGGCAGTGCCTGGAGATAGCAGAATAGAATAGAAAGAACTGGAGAAGATAACAAAATACAAAGACCTACAAATAGAAATAGAAAGACTGTGCAAAAGCAAGCAAGGGTAGTACCAATAGTCATAGGCTCCTTGGGTGCAATCCCAAAACAACTGGAGCACCACTTGAACACAATTGGCATTGACAAATTCGCTATTAGTCAATTGCAAAAGGCGGCCTTATTAGGAACTGCTTCCATCCGGCGACGATATCTGTAATACCATCAAACATCCACATCTGCCTATCCCAGGTCCTGGGTAAGGACTCGATAGGTAGACAAAATGCCAAATCCAGTCTGAACATCTGGCTGACTGTGCGATGAATGATAATATAATGACGATAATAATCATGGCCCTTCATCCCGCAGGACATTGACAGACTTTATCTACCAAGGCAAATGGTGGGCGTGGAATTCTAAAGTACATCAGATTGTTGAAGAAAAAAAATGGCTTTGGAAGAATACTGAAAACAATGATGAAGAGCCCTGAAATTAGTATATCAGGAATGCTTACTGACTACTGGAGAGACCAAACTGGCTACAAGACCAAATGCAGAAGCAGAATAGAGGCATGGGAAGACAAGCACTACATGGCCAATACATTAAAAAATAGCTTCGAACGCAGATAATGACAAGAACCTGGCAATGGCTAAGAACAGGAAAATTGAAGAAAGAGACCGAGGGACTAATTCTGGCTGCACAAGACCAAGCCTTAAGGACAAATGCATATAAAGTCCAAATTGAGAAGACAGCAACAGACAGTAAGTGCCGCCTATGCAAAGAAGCTGAAGAAACAGTGGACCACGTGGTAAGCTGTTGTAAGACAATTGCACAGACTGACTACAAGCAGGGGCATGACAAAGTAGCAACAATGGTGCATTGGAAGATCTGCAAAAATATCATTTGCCTGTAAGCAAAAACTGGTGGGGTCATAAAATAGAGAAAGTCATAGAAAATGATAAAATTAAACTGCTCTGGGACGTCAGAATTCAAACAGACAAGCACCTGCAACATAACACCCCAGACTTAACAATTGTCGATAAGAAAGACAAAAAGTCTGGATAGTGGACGTGGCAGTGCCTGGAGATAGCAGAATAGAAGAGAAAGAACTGGAGAAGATAACAAAATACAAAAACCTACAAATCGAAATAGAAAGACTGTGGCAAAAGCAAGCAAGGGTAGTACCAATAGTAATAGGCTCCTTGGGTGCAATCCCAAAACAACTGGAGCACCACTTGAACACCATTGGCATTGACAAATTCGCTATTAATCAATTGCAAAAGGCGGCCTACTGGAACTGCTTCCACCTCGCGAACATACCTGTAATACCATCAAAACATCCACAGTCTGCCTATCCAGGTCCTGGGTAAGGACTCGATAGGTAGACTAAAATGCCAATCCGTCTGAACATCATGCTGACTGTGCGATGATCCATAATAATAATAATAGAAGGAGGAGAAGGAGAAAGAGGATGAGGAGAGGATGAGGCGGATGAGGAGGGAGGAGGAGGAGGATGCAAGGGAGGATAAGAAGAAGAAGAGAAGAAGAAAGAAGAAGAAGAAGAAGAAGAAGAAGACGAAGAAGAAGAAGAAGAAGAGAAGAGAAGAAGAAGAAGAAGAGAAGAAGAAGAAGAAGAAGAAGAAAAGAGAAGAAGGAAGAAGAAGAAGAAGAATTGGAAGGGACCTGGGAGATCTTCTAGTCCAACCCCCTGCTCAGGCAGGAAACCTTATACCATTTCCTTTTATGGTCCAGATTTCAAATAAAAATCTAAAAGAGGCCATGGATCCTCAGAGCAGCTGGTCTACTTCCCTGCCTTCAAGCTTTTCATCAAGCAGATACCCTCTAGGGCAGAATTATGTTCCAAAAGGCACTTAAATAACTCCGAGCATGCGTCTTCCACTAGCCCTTCATGTGCAACAAGCCCACCTTACCTGTGCAAAGTAGAAGCCAAATGCAATGATGCCACACCAGCTGTGCAGGCTGTACATATCTGGAAAGCCTTGATTCCTGTGGTGCTGGAAAACAGCAATCAGACCTAAAGGGAAAGTGGGGCAGTCAAATTCTTTAAAAAAAACTCCCCTTCTCTCCTAACCTACCACTATCTACTCCATAATGTTGAGACAAGGACTACTCTAGGAATAGTTGGGAAATAGAAGAACAGCAGGTCCACCGTTATCTGGGATGATGAAAATAGCCCTTGGCATTCCAAATCTTCCCAAGCCAGAAAACATGTTCCAAAATCCTTTTTGTCTTTTGGAGACATTGTGGGGCATCTTTGCCCAACTTACAGTAATTGCAGCATTTATATACAGGATAAAGAATGGATTTGAGTTACATAGGACATTTTCCAACCAAGCGTGAAGAGAAAAATTCTAACAGAAAGAGCAATTTGATGGTTCCCTAGAAGGTATAGGTACTTCTTCACTGGATATGTTCAACTGGCTGGACAATCATCTATCCCACATACTGTTATTTGGATTCCTGCATTGAGCAGAAGGCTGGACTCAGTAGTAATCCATTTGAAGGGGTGCTTTGTAGTACCATGGTGATTTCCGCTCTTAGCAACTCCTAGCAAATACACATATATGTCCCTAGGATTCCTTGGCAATAATATTAAATGGATCCCCACTACCTTTTTTTTTATTATTCCCAGGCAAAAAGCAGAGACTTCTTTCTTTTCCCTCTCTATGTTGTTTATAGTATTTTTAAATGGGTTGTGTATATGTACACTTGAGAGCAAGAAACTAAATTTCATTTTTAATGTGTGCCATTGTACCTACAGTAAAAAAAATGACAATAAAGGTTGTCTATCTAGCTAGCTAGCTAGCTAGCTATCTTTACAGTATAAGAATGGAGGACACACAGTGAAATATCAGCGCAAACTGCAAGCAAGCTGCCAGTTGCATTTTGGTGAGATGAAAATGGCAGGCAAGCGCAGTCTCACTTAGCTCTACACCACCCCAACTACTCCAGCAGAAATATGCTTTAGATAGGTAAAGAAATGCTGCCCAATGGTTTCATCTTCACGAGAGGCAGAAAATGTTCTATCTATGAAATACAACTGAAATAGAAGCTCCCAAATAATCTGGGAAGCCCCATCTCCTCTCTTGAGTCTAACATCCCTAGGAATATCAGTGATGACCTTTGAAGACAAGACTCAGAAAGTGTGATAGAAGATTCCAGGCAGGTTCATTATGCCTTACCAACCAATGCAATGATAAGTGCAAAGAAATGGATGAGCCCATGCAGGATCTTCGTGGATTGCTTGCTCTCATTCCTGAAGACACGGTAAACCAGAAGGGCTGGAGGATAAGAAGAGGAAATAAGAATTAGGTGGGTGGATGGTCAGTTCCCCTCACTTCCTCACTCTCTTGCCTGCATAGATTGCAGTCTTTGGGGTATTAAGCAAAAGCATTTCAATTGATCCAAGGACTTTCAGATGGGTCATATTTTGAGCTGCTTCGTTTTTTTAATTTGTTTTATGTCTTTATGTATATAAGGTTCATGTATTCAAATTAGAAATGAGAGATTTGAATATTTTAAATAAATACATGCAGTCAAGAGAGAATTTAAGACAGCAGTAGCTACGCAGCTCCCATTCTGCAGGCTACCTGACTGTTTTAAGAAAATATGAATCGTGGTTGTCAATGGCAACAGCAAGGAGGGGTGTAAACGCAGCAGGAGATCGCCAGAGGAGGCATACTGGGGACTCCATAGACTGATCACAGGGGCATAATTTTTCTGTGCATGCAGATTAAGGATCTCTATGCTCCAACTGTTAACGCTCTTTCCCTTGCCTTCCACTGGGTTCTCTTCCATAGATTAAAAAAAATCCATGTTCTATTGCATGAAGAGCAGAAAAAAGTCTGCTCATCCCATAAGCATCAGCAATAACCAGGATGTCCCTTGCTTGCTCCTGAACCATTAGAAGCTCTATGTCAACTAGGCAAGCGAAATGATTCTTAGCAATGCTATAAGGGACACTGCATTGGCTGCTCTCTCGTCTGTCCAATTATGGGCAAGCATAATTTTCCTTTCAAAACAGAAAATGATGTATAAGGAACTCTTTCCCCCATCTGATTGGGGATCTGGGTTAAGCTCCCTTTAGGATGCGCTCTACTATAACTGATTTTCTAAAATGTATTTATATATATTTGCACAAGGGTAGGACAAATTTTGAAATCTAAATTTAAAAAACCCAAAAAGCTGTAAATAGTTATAGCTGGCTGCTAAGCCAAATCATAGTTTGAGGGTTCCCAACTGGAAGGAAGAGAGATCCAAGTGGAAGGAGAGGAGACTTTCTGGGCCTCTCCAAGCCCCTCTCATTTGTGGGAGGAGGCAAAAAGTCACGGTCAGTTTATCCACTTTCCAAACTATGACTCTAGGCCAGTGGTCCTCAACATTTGCAGCTTGGTGGTCCAGCTGGGGGGAGAGAGAGGGGAACTGGGCTGCACAAGCCACAGGCTGGCACACACAAGGCGTGCACACAGTCCTTGAGTGTCTGCCAGCCTGCTGCTTGTGCAAGATGAGCATGCGTGCTCTAGCCATTTGCGAGGCCCAAATCCAAACAGGTCATGACCTGGTACTAGGCCATGGCCCTGGGGCTAAAGACCCCTGCTCTATACAACCAATTGTGTCTCCACCCTTGGATGACACACCTTATCCACATGCCTTGCATGTGAAAGCTTCCTGTCAAAGCAGACCTCCTATTCCTTCCAAAATTCTTACCATCACCTTGAAGGAACACCATCCCAATGACCATGCACAGAGGGTGGACATTAAATAGTAGTTGAGAGCTGTCCCAGGCAACGCCACCTCGGTACTGTCCAATCCAGGCTGCCATCACCGTGATGACAGCAAGGCCCAAGATTTGTGAAGCGGCCACTACGTAGGTCAGTCCGATGGGACTTGCGGGTCTCGCAGGAGTCTCCTCCATCTTCGGGACTTATTTCCCAAATGAATCTTGAGCTGCCAAATTTGGAAAGGGGAGGGGCAGAAAAATCAACATCCATGTATAACCTTTCTCCATCTTGTCCCATTACAGATTTTTCTTCCCTCTCCTGAATTAGAAGGCTAAATGGGAGGAAAGAACACTAAGCAGTTGTTACCCCTACTTCACTCAGACCTTCAGCAAGGGAGAATAAGACCCCTTACTTTTTCACATCATCTTTTACTTTTATCTTTTATTGATAAATTTGTCTGTTTGAGCCAACCAGAGTCATTGAGAGTTAAGTAGTCCTCGACTTATGACCACAATTGAGCCCAAAATTTCTAATTGCTAAGTGAGACATTTGTTAAGTGAATTTTGCCCCATTTTACCATCCTTCTTGCTACAGTTGTTAAGTGAATCATTGCAGTTGTTAAGTTAGTAATGGAGTTGTTACATGAATCTGACTTTTCCATTGACTTTGCTTGTCAGAAAGTCACAAAAGATCCTGGGACATGGCAACCATCATAAATAGAGTCAGTTGCCAAGCATCTGAATTCTGATCACATGATCCTGGGGATGCTACAACGGTCATAAGTGTGAAAAATTGTCATAAGTCACTTTTTTCAGTGCCATTGTAACTTTGAATGGTTGCTAAATGAACTGTTGTAAGTCGAGGACTACCTGTACAAGTTTAATAAAGTATTATGATTGGGTCACAGAGTCAGCCAGATCATTAGGCTGAATCTGGCATTTTTGTCCACCTATCGAGGTGTTCCCAAGGATCTGGGATAGTCAGATGTTGTTGAATATTATTAAAGGTTATTGAAAGATGTAAATTGTTCAAAGTAAAGCTGCTTTTATCAATTGACTGTGTTATCAATGTTTGTAATGTTCAAGTGGTGCTCCAGATGATACTGTTATTGTTGTTATGTTTTGTGTTTCAAAGGGTTATAAGAATGCTAGCAAACAGAGAGTAGGAAAATGTTTCAATGTGAGATGCAAACAAGTCTGAAATAAACACTAAAAAATCAGTCTTGAGGTTTAAGGTGGAAGTGCATGAAATACAGTGTGTTGGTGTTTTTGTTTTTGTTTTTTTTTTCAGAAAAAACTGATAGCCAGAGACAGCAGCCCACTTATTGAAGGTAGGGAGCAAAATATGGTTGGAAGCAAACAGTGCACGAGAGAAGGATTGGTACAAAAAGAACTTTATCAGTGAACCACACAGTTCCTGGTCAAAAACAGAAGTTTTATTAAATTAAAATACCTAACTAAATTAAGGTAATTGGTTTAGTCTCGTTTCTGTTTCTGGCAAATGCCAGCTCCGTGCCGTGCAACATAACCTTCAGGGTGAAAGTGAAAAAAGATGTAAAGAACCAAAACCTGGAAAAACAGTGACATTACTAAAATCAATTCATTAGTCCTAAATTGCACATTTGAGGGGAATTGACCTTCTTCATCACGACCTCACATAATGTGCAATGGTGAAAGTGCTGGACTAGGAGCAGGCAGACTCGGGTTTAAGTCTACCATCCGCCGTGAGATCTCATTGGGTGGCTCTAAGCTAGTCAGTTGCAGCTCAATCAACATCACAGGACTGTTATTGCAGGGAAAAGAGGAAGAAAAAAATATGATGCATTCTGCTTTGAACTCTTGAATAAACGGCAAGCTATAAATCTCAGAAAAGCATGAGTGGGGTTAGGCAACATTTTTTTTTTTTTATCCTGGAGCACATCCAGGCATTATTATGAAATATACACATTTACTGAAACCTAAAATGCTAAAAATGCTTGTTGCTATCTCCTTTTCTATTTATGGAGGTTGCTTTCATCTTCAGTCTCCCTTCCTTCCTTCCTTCCGTGGGAAGTCAGCCCCCCGAGAGAAAGAAATATTTCTGGAAATATTTAAAAAGCAGAATATATTTCCCTAAAGGATTTTAAAGGCAGAAACCAACACACACACACACACACACACACACACCAAGTCTCTCTGCCCCAAACAGAAACCAAGTCTGCAGAAATGCAGATAATCTTGTCAGAAAGACTGGAATCAGGAAACTGGGATTAGGAAGAAAGATCCCTTGAATCAACACCATCAGCCCCAGCCCCAGGGAAGCAGTATATGATGCTTGGGACATAATAGGATTAACCCACCACCATCAGAATGCCAGAAAGGCACACTCAGACTCATGTCAAAGTTCATGCCACAGGAACAACTCCAAACAAAAGTCTCCAGAGGGTGTAAAAACCCACTCCCTACGTGTGCTTGCTCTCTTTTTTCTTCCAGAGCCATCTTTCTGTCTCGCTCTCCTCTTCAATAAACTGCAACCTTCTTTCTAAAGCAGTCGCCATGTTGTTTATTCCCGGTTTGGAATGAAACATGATGAAGACTTTTCTTTTAACACTTCCTATCTTCCTTCCTTCCTTCCTTCCTGCCTGCCTGCCTTTCCATTATTTTGTACATCTGAAGGGGAGGGAAAAGAAATGGGAGAATATAGTCGTAAGATGCCCGACATACATATGTAAGCAGCAGTCACTACCAATCCTATGAAATGCCCTTGTGAAGATAAGAAAACATTCACAGCAAGCTGAATTGGCCCAGAGTGATGACAAGGAAGAAGAATCAGTCAAGAACATGTAGCCCAGTAAACCAAAGTGACCCTGTCTCCAAAACAGTGTAGCTAGGATGCTGACCTAGTAGGAAGGAATAAATAATTAGAAAGTCATGCAGATGGGTTTATCAAAAACAATCCAACATCATACTGCAATTTACACTGGGTCTATTGTAACGTTGTCTTCTCTTTGAAATGTAATAGGCCAAAGATATATAATTTGAGATTCTGCTTTTGATCAGGGTTGCCCAGCATGTTGCCAATGCTTTGCTGGGAGCCCAGTATATGCTGATTTATCATTTGCATGTTAATACATTTATGCTGTATCTTCAGAGTGTTTGATTGCTTTGAGCAAACCCGGGTTTTGGCCACAATAGTGCCTTCCTACCTGCCAAGATTTTATTTCTAACCACACTCAGCCTTCATCGTGTCTAATCATTTCTTTATTGATTTAATTGCCCATAAAGACATCCAATTTATAACTCTACATAACTGATATGTATAGATGTGTCAATTATTCTCCCCCCTCCCAATCCTTTCCCTCATTCTAGCAGTAAAACACAAACAACAGAAAAGCCGGTGGAGACCAGGTGAAGCAAAGAAGTAGCTGTTTTGGGAAGGGAATAATATTGGGGAGTAAGAGAAGAAAAATCCTATTTAAATTTTAGGGGAAATAGTTACATTCAATAGGCAGAGGACAGAGAGATGAAAACTATTGTCTTCCCTCATAGAGACCTCTCAACAAGAATTGAAAGAATAAAGGCCCTCTGAAAAATGACACTTTTGAGTAACTTTGCCTTATCATGCTTCCTATCTAAAGATCTGGCATTAATATGGTGATGCCATTAGAGACAAAGCTGATTTATCAGTTCCTTTTTCATTGAGGAAAGCAATGAGATTTGTTTTACTAAAATACATGTATTAAGTCTGTTTCCAGTTTTTGGTGGCATTATTTGGGAGGCACTAGAAACGGCTCAAAAAGGGGTAACCATATATTGTTCAAGGGGTACCTATCTTAGTCCAGAAAATAGGAAATGATAAAGTAAATTACATTGGATAATCTTCCTCCTAACCTGATAGACAGACACCTGGATTTCTCATTCGTCCTTCCCTTTCATATTTCATCTGCTCAACCCAGAGGGGGAGACATATATATGAATGTTGGGAGTAACCAGAACAGCACAAGACTGACAAACAATGTGGCACTTTGGCTGCCCCAAAGAGTCCTCTCTGGTGATTGCAAAGCATCTTTTTCACTTAGGATTCTATTATGAAATTTTGTGGACAAAGATGTCATTTCTTCCTTCCTTCCTTCCTTCCTTCCTTCCTTCCTTCCTTCCTTCCTTCCTTCCTTCCTTCCTTCCTCTTTGCACCTCTTTTCTTTATCGTTCCTGACTTTTGTTTCTATTTGTATTCTATCTTATAACAAACTTCAATAAAAATATAGAACAAAATGAACTATACAGACAAATATAGAAAGTTCAGGGGTGATCACATATCCAGAGCAGCAGTGCAGATGGGAGATGAAACCAAGAAACACGAAAGATGTACATGCACACACAGAGAGACTTCAACAGAAAACTTAAGGTAACATGAATCATTAACCCAATGGTATCCCCTACTGTGTAGAAAACCACAATATGTTGCAAAGGTATGTCACTTACTGGATTGGTAAATTAAAGGGATTTACTAAAGGTGGAGTAGAATATATTCAGTAATCTTCTTAACTAATAAAAGAACAGGATTATATCTTGTTTTAAAAACCAAGCAAATCATCCTCAAAGACCAATATTACAAGTTACAACACAATCAATAGCAACAAAATCAAAACCAAGGAGAGCAGGATGTACTAGGTTGTAGACCAAGAATTAATAATATATTGTTATTTCAAAACACTGCAAACTAAATCCACCTCAATATGTTTCTCTGGCTCTTGTCTATTTTTAAAATATAACACATTTATTCTTCTAAAACTGCAATTCCCTAATATATCATTTAGATACAGAAGAATCAACAGGTTTCTTCCTGTGCAAGGCTCCTCTATCCATTAGCAGTATAATGAGAAAAAAATACAGTAGACGAAAAAAAATATTCTTTTATTCAGGACCTTTTTTAGAGAGAAGACAATAGAGATATCTGCTTCAAAATAACAAAAGTAGAAGACCCACTGAAATTATTATTTGCTGTTTTAAAAGATCAAAGGGATTAATACTTTTAAAAATATAATCGCAAGAGTTATTTCAAATACCAACCTTCAGCATCATCTTTATTAACAAAAATGCCAGTAAGATTCAAATGGGCAACTGGTTTTTTTCACATTAAACACAATGAGTTGTTGCAACCCTGTGATAATTTTGGAAGCCTTAGAACAAAGGTAAGCAAGTAGAAATAGTAGCAAAAAGCGTTCTGGTAAATCCATGTTTTTTATCTGGTTATATTGCCTTGGCCATCGTTTTCATTGCCATGGCAATGCTTTTGCAGTCACAGAAGGTTCTTAAAGTTCCTATTATGCTCATTAAGATCAGAATGAACCTCAGGCCCTATTTGCCATTGATTTCACAAATTATAAAAGAACGGGGAAATGCATTGGTGAGAAGGAAATTGGAACTAGGGTCACATTAATACCCTAGTCATTAAAAGGGTTGATTTTTATTGCTTCTACTATACGTCTACTATCTCTGTCATCAAATGGAAAAAATAATCATTGCAATATGCCAGGAAGAAAAATAAGCAAAAAAGTCTCTACTCTGTCTGCCCCACCTTCATATACAAAAGCAATATGTTTAAAGATTAAAAAGACTTTAAGAGGTGAAGTATCAACAGTGCACACTAGAGCTTCTTGTTCACAAGCCAGAAATAAAACAAACAAAATTGAGGCACTTGGTACCAGTCATTTCAAATTTTGAAGCTTTAATTGCTTCCCTTAAACACAGGCCCGAAATCCATTCTCATTCATCTCCCTTTTGCAAATTCATTTAACTTTTATACCAAAAATTACGTACTGTGTGCAGCTGTACTACTATTGTCTCTCCTCACCAAAGTCTGATACACTGTTCAATTGACTCCCAATAGGTAAAATGCAATTTATGAAAGACTTACTTTTTTTACGAGGTTTCAGTTCCAATTCCAGGGGGGAAAAAACCCTCCTCTATGTCTTGCTCAAGATACCTTTTACCCAAACAAATCAGAATTGAATTCTGTAGACAACCTTCCTCTTCCTTCATTGTACTGATGACTCATACTAATCGCTCCTCCTGTCACTCCAGTTTCAGAAAGAGCACCTGGAGCAAAATTGGTCATTAAACTCTACTGCAGAAAGCCAGCAACTTGTAATCTTTTCTGGACCCTGAAGTTTATAGGTTTCTGTTCCCTGCCAATCCATTTCCTTTCTTCTGGTGTCCAAGCAGAATCTTATATTTGGTTCTTTGTCCAAGCCAGCATTTACACTGAACTCAATCAAGCGTTTGAAATGGTTTTGTAGGAGAGAACCATGTTCAGGTAAGTTAAGGCTTCCATTCTTAAAACGTGGCAGTCTCTGTTAGCTGTCACACCAGCTAAAGTTTAGGACTCCACCTTCAGCTAACACTGACTCAACTTAATTTTTTCAACCCTTAAGAGGAAGGAAACAAATAAAGGACAAAGGAACACACTTTTTCCAAATAACAAAGAAATTGAGTAAGAGACCAAGCACAATCAGGGAAAAAGAAGCCCATAGAATAATTCAAACTGCATTTCACTTACTGCTATTTGAACAGAGTTCCTTACCTGGTTTTTAAAAGTTGCTCTGCAACTTTATATATGCTAGCAAAACAACTGTCTTGTGATCAGATGCCTCAGATGCAATGTGTATGATTATTTATTTATTTATTACTATAAGTCCCAGCTCAGTTTAGCGTGTCAGGTTCATAATTGGCAAGCATTAATTGTACACAAAAGATTATTTTTCATTTTCAGGAAAATCTCTGTAAACTGCTGGCTTATATCCCTTCCACGCTTGGACTGGGCTAGTCTGAAATACGTCAATAACCAAGGATCACCGTGCTAACAACCAATCAAAGCTAAAATAAATGAAAAAAAGCAACCTTGCTTCTTGTTTATCAGCACAGATGGAGAACAAGAAAGCCAGCGACGCGACCACATTGAGAAAAGAAAGGCATAACTGTGAAGTCCTTCTCATCAAAGATCGTTTATTCAGGATGGTTCTACCTCACCCTTCTCAAGTTGACACGCACAAGTGATTTTTTTTTCCCTGCCTCCCTGCTTAGATTCTCACAACAACCCCGCAGGGCAGACTAAACGAACGAGGGCGTGGTTTCTAGTGACCAGGAAGGGTGGCAATACCACAACAGGCTTGCGAGTTAGGGAAGGAGGCTCTCTCCCATCCAGTTACATTCGCCGAGCACGTGAGGACTCACCTCACCTGGAAGCGGCTTCAGCTCCAGTAGACCGCCAACCAGCTGCACCTGCCGCCCAGCTGAGCTCCCCCCCCCGCCCCATTCCCAATGCCGACCGACCCACCTTGCGTTTCCTGCGGATGGAGAGGAGGACAAAAGAGCCACGTTGCCACAGAAACTCCAGCAAATCGCGCTGTGCTGGGCGAGAGAGCCAGCAGGAGAGAGAGAGACCGGGGTGGGCGCAGCTGGGAGGTTCTGGTCTGAGAGAAGCGGCTCGCGGGACGCGCGCGCCTTGGGGGTCCCTAAGATCGCCCCGGGTGGCTTGACCGCCGCAGCTCCCCAATCCCCTTCTTTTTGTCGTTTAGCTTTCTAAGGGGGAGGGAGGGGGTCGGCCTATTCGTTGGTATCAAAGCGACTAGGAATCAACTGCCATTGAAGAACCTGGGAACAGATGGTGCTCCACAGGCATCGTTTGCTAATGCATTTATATCGCGCCTTTTCTAAGGTGGTGGTGGTAGTGGTTGTTGTTCAGTCGCTAAGTCGCGTCCGACTCTTCAGCCCCATGGATCACAGCACTCCAGACACTCTTATCTTCCAGTCTCCCTGAGTCTGCCTAAAGTCATGCCCTCCTTGTCGATGACACTATTTAATCATCCATGTCTATGGAGATTCTCAGTCAACCAGGTTATGGTTGTCCCAAAGGGTGCTTTTTGCTAAAGGCAACTGGACTTGCTTTGTTTTTTAGCTTGAAGACTTTTCGTTTCTCATCCCAAAAACATCTTCAAGCAAAAAACAGAGAAAGCCCAGTTGGCTTTTGAGGGGGGGGGGAAGCACCTTTGGGATATCTAACCATCCCTTCTCCTTTTGCCTTTAATCTTTCCCAACATCAGGGTCTTTTCCAGTGAATTCTCTCAGCTTCCGTATCTGATCTTCCAAAGGACAGTCAAGGTTCATTTCCTTTAGGGTTGGTTTTCTAAGATATCTCCATGAAAACATTTATACTGTACAGTATTTGGTGGGTTGGGCTGAGAGAGACAGCCCATCTGTCATCTGGAGGGATCTTTGGAGGTGTGGGGCCCCCCAGGACCTGAACTGGGGTGCTTCCAGGGCATATGCTAAAACCGAACCTCTCTACTGCACACAGTTGTGTTTTGAAAAGGCCACCCTTTAGGACAGGCAGATGTGGGCAATGTCTAAAAAGCATCTGATGGCTGGCATATTATACTTTCATGGCTATTTACATGGATAGTCAGCAAATTACACTTTCACGGATACTCTGAAGAAGTGTTTCATAATCCACAAAATTCGCCTTGTATTCATGTTTGTTTCAAAAGTCGCCACAAGCTGTTTTCCATGACATGCATGCCTCCATTTAGTCTTAATACTGTAGCGATTTACTCCATTTTCTCTGGTTTGTACAATAAATGGAATCAAATAACCAGCAGGGGCAAACTTCAGACAACAGACTACAGTAGTTGTGGCCACTTTGTGCTTATGTAAGCCACATGATTTGTCACGATGCACATCATTTGCTACTACTCCCCCTTGCAGAAGCCTGTTAATATAGTTTGTATATAGAAAGGTACCCATCTAGGACAGTACATTTTTTACTTCTGCAATCTCCCCGGCGGTATAGCTAAGATTCTGCATCTCTTTCCCTGCTCCTGTTGCTGTGCTTGAGAGTTTTGTTCATAATTATTGGTCATTCTCAGACCTTAAGCACATTGCCAAAAACATGTTCACACAATATATTAAACCCTAAAGCCAGGTTATCACAATGCAGGCATTATGTTCATATGGCATAATATGCTCAATAGTCCTTGATGCAGAAGATACCTCAGAGACATTTTCTAATATAGAAAAAGCAAGCTCATGTTACCCTGTGTGTGTTTGCGCGTGTGTGTAAACTCCAAGGATTGCAGACTTGTATATCAGCTGAAGCGGCCAGCCGAACAGAAAATACAAGCCAGTAAAAAAACCTGTTGACTGAAGAGCAATAACTTCTATCAGAGATGCATTAGGCTACTTTGTCAGTGTGTGAAGATAACAGTCTGTCTTTTTGGTACCTTCAGGGTACTTAGAAATTGCATTATTTATGGGCAAAGCACTATGTCTTCTACAAAGCAATAAGGAAGAGAAAAACCTGCTGTTCTTTTTGTCTTATTTCTCTTTTCTCCAGACCTGTTAATTCGCTCTAGGCATATTTTTCTCTTGGTTCACTTGTAAGCATTTGTACAAGTTATTTCATTGTGTGCAGTTACTTGTAACTCCCAGATACCCCATTGCCTTGAATCTGGGTCTTATTGAAGATAGGCACCTTCTCAACCATTTCACCCTAAGGCAGAAGAAAAAGCTGTTTGCACTGATTCACCTATAGGGAAATTTGTCCTCCTTAACATAGGAGAGAAAAAAGGAGAGAAATATAATTTGTGATGTTACCAAAAGTACATGTTTTACTCTGATATATTTTAGCTTATTTCTGTTATTGGTGGCTTACATGAAGGAATAAAACATAGAATGTGTAATACAGACAAGATAATCCAAACCCATATGGTTTTTGATTTCTTAAATTTTTTACATTTAAAGATTCTAGGCTCCTGATGCTCATCTACAATCATCTAGATGATAAGAAATATGTACAGTAGTACACATAAAATCACATTGTCCTGTAGGTTTTTTTGAATCATGAACACCTCAGGAAATGAGAACCTATTTTAGACAGGATCCACTTTAGATAGAACACATTACTAGAGGCTAAAGGGTTTCTTCAATAGGAAATACTTTCTTCTTGGCTCCTTGTGGTTCACAATCTGCTCAGGCATTATCTAGTCACTATATGTTCTTGTAGCTTCCTGACTAGAGTACTAGAATATGAGATTCCTCATGAAAGGCATTTTAATTTGCTCAGCTGAAAATTCTGGTGCTTTTGAAGAGAAAGCAACACTTGAAACAAAGAAGGCCACAACATAAAGACTGCCAATTTTTTGAAAGCTATTTGATGATTTACTCTGATGTCACCAGAACTGTGAATCAACGACTGACATTTTGGGGCCTGGAGATGAAGGTGTGCATCAGGATCCCTCGAAAGCGTCTCACAAGCCTTAAAACAAGTTGAAACATTGCCCAAATTCAACAGCATAATTTCATGGTGCTGCATCACGTACAGCCCATGGTCTGCCTATTCCTACTTAAAATGACTGAAAAACTCAAAAACTCAAGCAACATCTCTTCAATAACAGCTGCCAGTTGTTTCTCTATACCTATTTAATAAAACAAAAAGTAAGAAAATCATATTGGAAACATGCTTCCTCTGCAGTGCTGTGTTGGTTTAGAATGCCCTATCAGCCTATCCAACGAAAGACAGAAACTTAATAAATTCACACTTTCCAGCCTATGCCTTTCAGGTGCATAGTTCCTGGTTTATCATTCCATTGCCAAGCAAAAATATTATTTATAGAAATACTTTAAACAAATTTAATCTTGATTGATTGATTGATTGATTTGCAAATCAAGCATGTTTTAGACTATATTAAACATTCTAATTTTCTTGTATTTTAAAATCGTGGGAATTTGGAATTATCTCTATTGTTCTTGCCTGCCTCTAGATCAGTGGTTCTCAACCTGTGGATCGGGACCCCATTTGGGGTCTAACGACCATTTCACGGGGGTCGCCAAACAAGGCTGTCTGCCATTTTTTCCCCCTTTTCTTTGGCCACGCCCCTGGCACCCGGTGATGTATAAGTGGTTCGGGGTCACCACAACATGGGTAACTGTATTATGGGGTCGCGGCATTAGAAAGGTTGAGAACCACTGCTCTAGATGAAACAAATGATCATAAAGAACAGCTTTCTTTCTTTATGGTTTTATCTATTTCTGCAAAAGACAAAATATTAAGGGATACAAACCTTTTAAAATCACAATATACCTGGACTTTGAGTATGTCAACAAGCGTGAAGATAACACAATCTAGCATAATCTAGCAGACAGATTTTTTGATATTCAAATGTCTTCAGACAAACTCTATCCCCAATAACACCTGAGTAAATTTAGTGGTCAAGAGATAAGGGAACTTCCCACTTCTCATTCTTCAGTACTAAATCATCAAAAAGAAAACAATAGAGTGAGCAGTTCTCCTAACACAGGGGTGTCAAACTGCCAACCCACAGGCCAGATGCATCATGCCAAAATGACGCCCACCCCATTGCCAACAATGGAAAAAAAGTCATGACACGTCGCAAGTTTGACACCCCTGTCCTAACACAAAGATTTAAATAACAAACCCTGAGCAATAATCAGTAGTACAACTAGTGATGGAACTTGCTCCTAATTTTAGAGTTTCAAGTGGGGCCCAGTTTGTACAGAAGATCAAAGAGGTCAAGGTGAAAAAAACCAAACAATTACAAAGAGTTCAAAATCTCATCTCATTCTAATAAATAAAAGTGAAGTTCAGTGTGCAGAATGTGGCAACAAAAATCCTTAATGCCTGATAGGATTTGAACTGGGGCGAATGAGCCAATGAAAACATTTATCCCAAACTGTGACCTTTTTGTAGTAAATGTTCTATTTCATATACTTAGGCAAGGGGACAAAGAGACAAGGAGGCCAGGCTATGGGGAAGAAATAATTTTTATGTCTTTGATTCTTTGTTGACTGGTTTCTTCTTTGTTATTTTAATCTCTTCCCATAAGCTTTTTTTTTGTAGCAAGTATAGACCACAGAACCCTGTTCAACAGAACCCTTACCATTACTATCCCGATGATATGCCAACACTGCTTTTCAAAATCAAACAAGTCATAATCATGAGCCAACTCTTGCAGCTCAAGACAAGTAGTAATAGAAATCAAAATTACAAAAACGTACAATGAAGTATACAAAATTTTACATCTCAGATGCCCTGTGGAAGAGCTCCATTTTCAACTGCTTCCATGAGGCAACCAGAGTTGGAGCCAAATACATTTCCTGTGAGACTACATTCTATCCAGAGTTACATAGAAAATATGGTTGAGACATTATTCTTGGCGGAGGCTATAAAGGTCTGGATGGGAAGAAACAGATTCAGTCTTAATCCCACCAAGACAAAGTGGAAGTAGGTTTGGAAGCTAAACCATCTTTAGTTCAAGGTGGGCTGTATTCCCATCTTTTAATCTGGAGGTGTTCTTAGAATCTACTTTGCATAATTCTATCTAGCTGTCACAACTAGACTAGATCAAAAGACCCACTCACAGTTACTCATGTCCTGATCATTTTTTATTTAATTATTGCAACTCACACAATATGCAGCTGCCTTTGAAAACTACATCACGAGGCAGAGGCTCAACCAAGGGTGCCTCCTAGTTTGCTAGAATGAGAGTTGCATCGGTTGCCAGTTGCAGTTCAAAGTTCCACTTTTAAGTTCCTACTTGACTCATGATCTGGATTGCTGCAAGATTGTCTTCTCTAAACCATCTTTAGTTCAAGGTTGTATTCCCATCTTTTAATCTGGAGGTGTTCTTAGAATCTACTTTGCATAATTCTATCTAGCTGTCACAACTAGACTAGATCAAAAGACCCACTCACAGTTACTCATGTCCTGATCATTTTTTATTTAATTATTGCAACTCACACAATATGCAGCTGCCTTTGAAAACTACATCACGAGGCAGAGGCTCAACCAAGGGTGCCTCCTAGTTTGCTAGAATGAGAGTTGCATCGGTTGCCAGTTGCAGTTCAAAGTTCCACTTTTAAGTTCCTACTTGACTCATGATCTGGATTGCTGCAAGATTGTCTTCTCCCAAAATTTCTGTTGTTAAGTGAGACATTTGTTAAGTGAATTACTACAATTTGTAAGTTAGTAACCCAGTTGTTAAATGAATCTGGCTTTTCCATTAACTGCTTTTCAGAACGTCCCAAAAAAGATCACGTGACCTTGGGATACAGCAATGGTCATAAATATGAGTCAGCTGCCAAGCATCTGAATTTGGATCACATGATCATGGGGATCGCTGCAAAGACTGTAACTTTGAAAAATGGTCGTAAGTCACATTTTAGTGCTACTGTAACTTTGAACAGTCACTAAACGAACTGTTGTAAGTTGAGCATTACTTGTATTGCAGACATAGGCAGGCAAACACTTTTTGTATTTGTCAGCCAATTGTTGCTTTGAAGGGTTTCTGACGTATATTGGTGACAGTAGCAGTCCTATGTAAAAGATCTAAATCTAAATAATATCTAAGTCATATCTGAGCATCAGATTTGTCAAGTAGTTAAGGCACCAGGATAAAAACTGAGCAACTGTGAGTTCTAGTCACATCTTAGCCATGAAGGTCAGTTGGAGGACCGTGGGCCAGTCATCTCTCTCAGCTCAATCCACCTCATGGGATTGTTGTTGGGGGGGGGGAGGAAAAACACATGTTGGATATGTTCGCCATCTTGAATTAATTGTAAAGATAATAAAGGTGGTAAATAAATAAATAAAAAGTAAAAAACAATGCAAATTAACTACTTAGAAGCATTTTAAATAAGTTTATGCCCATTCAGGCACAATAGAATTAAATCTGAACCAACTATTCCCAATGCATCTGTAACTCCTAAACTGTCTGATATTTAGCAACATGACAGCCTATTTTACAAGGTTCGTGTAAAGATCAGGATAGTTGTACCAAAGCACAAATGCTTTATTATTATCGTAACAGTTCCACCCTCTGTAATTTGAAATGTTCTAGAAATAGACCTGGGCTATGTAGGGGAGATAGAGGCCTAGTGGTTATTCTTGCCCCAGCTCCTGCCAACCCAGTAGTTTGAAAGCAGGCAAATGCGAGTTGATAAATAGGTACCACTTTGATGGGAAGGTAACAAATTTCCAAGCACCACTGTGTATAGTCATGCTGGCCACATGACCACGGAAGCATCTTTGGACAACACTGGCTCCCCTCAGCTAGGAAACGGACATGAGCACCACTCCCCAAAGTCAGATATGATTGGACAGGAGAAACCTTTACCTTTATTTCTGAAATTTTAAATGGAGTTGGACTACAACAACCAGTTCAGACACAGCATTTTGCAGCTCCTACTAAAATACCTCCATTTGGAAGGGCAGGAATCAGTTCCAATATTTAACTAGCTTTGCCTCTGTTCATTTCCCTGGCTTCCTAGTAAATGAAGCCAGAGTTTTGCTCTAGTTTTAAGGCACTTTTCTGCTGATGCTGGCAAGCAAGGGGTTGATCCGCAGCAGTTTCCCTTTTGGACTGCTTTTGGAAGCGCACCTGGAGGCTTCGGGATGCTCAGAGATTGGTTCTTTCCTGCTGCTCGGAAGCTGTTTCCACTTCTTTTGCTGCTGGACTTTTAAACTTCAGGGGAAGATTTCTCCTTAATCACGATCTTCAATAAGAGACATAGCCCTTACCTTGGAAACAACTGCTTTATTCAAAGTCCTGTTGAATTCAATGTTCATAGTAAACATGGGGGCTCCTCTCTCTTCAAACTGCACTATGCAGCATGCCCTCCACCAAGCTCAGCTGACACAAGTTAAAGAACACGACCAAGCCCTCACTCCCAAGGAGGCCCTGGATTAGAACCTAGCTCATTTGAAAGAATTGTCAGAACGTCTGGAGCAACTTAACATCACACAAGCTAAAGTCTTTGAAATTCTAATGGACACCCTGATCGACAAGAGACCCAAAACAAAAATCCGCAGGGCCGCTTCCAGAAGACGGTGTGCAAACTCTACATATACTTCTTCAGCAACTCAGACTATCTCAAGAAGTTGGTTGAAGAAGATGAAAAGCTAATGGAGCTTTTGTGTATGTAATGGAGCCATCAGAGAACAAGAGAAGAAGAAAATAATCTTGCTCCAAGGTGCTCTTATATAATGTCTGTCTCAGCTTGAATGGAAGGCTTCCAAGAGAAACATTCGGGCACTGTTAGCAGGGTAAAGTTTCACCTTCCTGCCATCTCTTCTCTCAATGTCTATTAAGTCGTAGGCCCTTTTCTGCGAGTTGACTTGATGTCATGTATCTATTACCATGGGAAATAGTGTATATGTAAAGGATTCTGCGTATAATGTTCCTTACTATGCTATAGTATAGTAGAGTATAATATATACATACCATAGTGGGTTTTTTTTCTGAATTTGAGCCATGTGGAGGATGTTGTGCAGAAATTGAGAAGGGGTGCCTAAAACTAGAAATACTTCTAAGGACTGAAATAAAAGTGTTATCAACTTTTTTTTTTAAAGGCACTTTTCTGCTGATGAAATTCCTCCTGGTTGTCATATTCAACTTTTCTTTTTTCTGCCTTTGAAGACCCGGGTAGCCCCTTGCCCAAAACAAATAGCGGGCGGAATTCTGAAAGACAAAATGCAAAAAGAGTGCACCCTGGCTTGGCTATAGTAATATAATAAACAAATGAATACAGGCTAACAAGTCCTCCTAAAGCAGAGTTCCCCAACCTTTTCGGCTTTGTGGACCAGCAGGGGCAGGGAGAGAAGGGATGGTCCAATGTACAAGAAGCTCCATTGTGCACACGGCAGTTGCACACACCTGCCGCTCGCACAAATGAAGCCTGTGCATGCACGGTCCACCCGCTGCTCATGCAAATGAGCATGTATGTGCACACGTCCACCATTTCCATGGCCTGGTTCTGAAAAGTTTCTTATATTTCCAAACAATTCTATAATCTTCTATAGTTCAAACACAATACTAGTTTTGCAGTATGCAAACCTAAAGAGGAAAAAGATGCTTCACATCATGCAGATTTCCCACCCCCCTTTGGTCAGCCATTAGCTAAAAGAAGAAATTAATTCTTTCCTTGAACTATTTGTGATTTGAGCATATTTAAATTCTCTTAAACATTTCTGATATTGTGAAGTTCGTCCTCTGAGTAGTAAAAAATAAAAACAGTGAGTCTTCAAGGAAATTATTCATTCAAATTATTAAATTATACCAATTAAATCCAGATTGGCTGGTTATCAGATTTTTGCTAGTTTCCAAATTAGCAAATTCTACCAATCACTACCAGAACTGAGTAGCAATTTCATACCAACAAAAAAACTGTAACTAGTATCTCAGAAGCTGAACAATTCTTGAGTTTATTTTGGCACTCAGAAATATTAACATTTAATTAACAATGACATAAAAGTAAATAGTTGCAATGCATACCAACAATTATGAAATAAAAAAAATTGAACAAGGCTGTGAACATCCACGGGGCATTAGGATGTAGGATTTTAAGCCAAATCATAAAATGAATTATCAACTGTTTCATGCTTTATGTTAGACATTTCCCATAACAAATAAGATTGGACAGGAATTCCAGAAATCCGACATCAGTTTGCTGAAAAATATACATTAGGCAAAAAACCCAAATAAACAATAAATACTATCTTGTCTCCAGTGAACTAAAATATTCTAATTCTTGAAGAGATAGATGTTTCCATGCAAACAGTTGGATGTTCATACCAAAAAGCGATTCCAAGCCATCTGAAAAATGCAAAGCCACCAACCTTGATCTATAGAGCCATTTTCCAAATGCTGGAGAGTCCACTGTACACTCTGTCTCAGACTGAACGTCACTTTCCATTACACTCTCATCTGGACCTGTTTCCATGGCCTCAACATGTAATTGTTCTGAGTCTTCCACAGTCATATCCATTGGCACGTTGCTTTCTTTTGATAAAGGCCTCATTTTCTCTTTCCTATTGCAGAAATTTAGCTCAGAGTCAAAATACTGAAAAACAGATGGCAAGAACATTGTAGAAAGACTTTAACATCCATGTTTGCCCTCAGTGATGCTCTTTTTTCCTTTTAAGCAGTCATACAAAAAACATTATTGGTAATGATTTAGCTTGGCCTCTAAGCAGGGAAACCTAAATTCGGATCTGTATTCTATCATAAAATTCATTTATTTTATTCTCTCTCACTTTCTGGTATGTGAGAAGTTCCCTGAAGATGGGCTCCAGCACAAATCCAAAAGGTTGGAAGATTAAGCCTCTGATTCCAATGACCACCCCAGACTGGATCCTGCAACATTATCCTTTGCATTCATTTCTCATTCATTTATTTTTATTATATGTATCTGCCATTCATCTCAACATTGAGCAATTCATTCATTGCCTATGGGTCAGTCATTCTCTTTTAGACTAATTTAATTAATCAAGATAATCATCTTTTTCTCTTCCAAGAAAAATAATACAGAATGATCATACCAATAGTAATCATAACTAAGAACTGATCTTCTGAATTTTAGATTTTCTGTAATTCCATAGATCAAAACATTTCTAACAACCAGTGAGGAACACCTCAGATGTACATTCTGCTATATATTTTAGGCATTTACATGTTTACCTTTGTGCTTTCAGGGATTTATCAAAGCGAAAATCAGATGGATACCGATGAACTGTGATTAAGTGATCTTTGCGGTCTTTGCTACTTTTGAATTTCTCTGGACAGCTCTCTACCAAGCACTGGTACTGCAAAGAGGCAGAAAAACCAATAAGAAGGTTGATTGGTATTCTGTGTTCTGCTCTTGAAGTTACTAGTGCACTGTTAATGACTATACTAGCAGAACATAAGTTTGATCTTCCCAACTCAAGTAACAAGGTTGAGGATGGTCTTAGTGTCAGCAGCTGACAGAGCTAACAATAGTTCATGAAGTGAACTAAGCATAGGGCAATACCCAAGAGAAAAATGAACTACAAGCACTGCTTATGTTCTTGATTTTTTTATAACCAAAAAATTGTGGTTATGTAATATTCTTGATTACAAAAAATATTGCAGTTGTTAATATAACTAGATTTACATTTGTACTGAACCTACTGAATAGCAGGCTATCTATAGGTCTCATGGCCATTTACCATATTCTGCTTCTCTGCCATTATCTGGAAGAGGGAATCATGCCACTCCAAAATGTGAACATCTAACAAATGTGTTGAAGGGAAGGATCGTTTGCAAGAAGAACACACATTCCTGTGCAGCATGTTGTAATGATGCTCATAGCTCTCCAAGGTGTTGAAAACCTGGCTGCATCCACCAATTTGACAAGAAAATTCAGAGGTTCTGCAAGGAAACAGAAAACAAGTCTTTACCAAATTGTGACATTTTACATGTATTGTGTTTATTTATTTAGTGCATTTTTATTTACAATCTTTACAGTGGTTGAAAGTTGTTTTGGGAGGCTTGTTATTCTTAAAGGAACAATGTAAATAGAGTAGAATCATCCCCATCGTTGTGGCTATATATACTAAAAGGAGAGAGGGTTTGAGGCATTTAATGTAACTCTCCCTTATGGACGAGCTCGTTTCTGCTGAAGATTTTATAATGCAGGAGCAACAGCGAGTGAGCATCCTTGAAGTCAGGGAGGAAGGAGATAAAAGAATCAGAGTTGGAAGGGACCTCGGAGGTTTCCTAGTCCAACCCCCTGTTCAAGCAGGAGACTCTATATCAGGGGTGTCCAACCTTGAACTCCAAGACTGGTGGACTTCAACTCCCAGAATTCTAGGAATTGAAGTTCACAAATCCCAAAGTTCCCAAGGTTGGACCCATCTGCCCTACAACACTTCAGACAAAGGGCTGTCCAGTCTCTTCTTTAAAAGATTAAAAAATTCCTACCTTTGGAAACAGAGGCCTTTATTCCGGACTTCTGGCGGTAGGGGTGGGGGGCAAAGGCCCAAACACCACCACCCCTGGCACCAATGCGCTGACAGAAGGAGAGACTTCTACAGCCACCTCTCCCAACCTTTACCTGGGCCTTTCGGTGTCCCTCGCGACGTTCTCCAGGAGACCTTGGAGGTACATATGCCGATGGACGTCGCCGTCCTGGAGGGGAAGAGAACAGGATTACAGCCATCGCTTCACACGCAGGGAAGAAACGCGGCGGGCCGCTTCTGAGGCAAGCCGACCCCGGCTCCGAAGGCAAAGGCAGAGCAAGGAGGCGCCCTACCTCGAAGAAGGGATGGTCTGCGGGGTAGCGGATCACGGCGGGGCGGAAACGGAAAGGACCTGCCTCCTCGCCAGCCATTCTTTCCCGCCACGGTTTCTCTCCCTGAAACTAGCACGGCCGCGCTTCCGCTTCCGAGTCATGCGGAGGATGGTTGCTGGGAGACCGGGGGGCCGGGCTAGAAAAGGTGGAGCTTTTGCCGCCTTGCTCCTAACGTTATGGCCCTGCCTTGCAGGATTGTTGTTATTGCCCTGGTGAAGCCCTGAATGCCGCTTTCTATTCATTATGAGCGAGTTTCGGATTCATCACGACGTGAACGAGCTCCTGAGCCTGCTGCGAGTGCGGGGCGGCGGGGAAGGGGCGGAGGTCTACATCGACCTGCTCCAGAAGAACCGCGCCCCTTATCTCACCACCACCGCCTCAGCCCTCGGAGCCAAGGTGGATCGGCCGGGAGAAACGGGGGGAGGCGGTCGGGGAGGGGAGAGACGGGGAGCAGCAGAGCCCTTTCGGACCCGGGAATATCTAATTTGATAGCAAAAGTCCTTTTTGTATTAGATATTGAATCAGATATCTTGTAACCAAACGCTGTACAATGATCACTGATAGCTGCGAATGTCTACCCGGCTATTCCTCCACAATCATAATATTTAAGGGTCAAACTGTTTTTGTAATCAATTTTAAAAGGGTTAACTGGCCCGGCATAAACTCTGATGAAATGAAGATAAAAGCCCTTCTGGGTGCCAATGACTCATAAGGCTTCCTCTCTCCCACCCTGCTTCCAGGATGGGGGAGGTAAGTGGAAAAAAATATACTGCAGGTTTATTTATTTAGTCGTTGTTTATTTGTTAAATTTATTTGCCGCCTATTTGCCATGGGGCTACTCTGGGCGGCTTTCAATAATAAGAAAAAGGAGTGTAAACAGAAGTAAAATAATAGAATAAAATAAACAATTACAAAGAAACACAAAAATACACTAATATGATAACCAAAAAGATGGAGGGGGAGAGGGAGATGGAGTCTGCCGTCAATCCAGCAGCTACCTCCAGGTTTATCAGGTTTATCTGTTCACACCTGGCCTAAAAGAGCTGCTGATCTTCAAAATATGAAGTTGATTTCATATTTATTGGCCTTGCTGACCACCTTTTATCCCAGAGTGAGCCAGGTAAATCCAAATTCATAGAGTTATGCAGTCATTTAACCCATCAAGTTCAATCCCCTGCTCTGGGTAGGAATCAAAATAATTCACAGAGATGATGATAGCGAGGATGTTTTCACCAAGAAAGAGGAAAGATGGGGAGATGTGGTAAGTGATGTTGGTTTCTTTATCTTACGACTTTAACTTTTTGGCTGTTTCATTCCTTTTCTTTGCATAATGTTGCTTACCCCAAAGAGGAATAGCCTGGTGGGTATGAATATATAATACAGTCATAGAGGGAACATCTGTAGCAGCCTTTTTCTTGCTACCACAGGATCATAGTTCAGCTGCCCAGCAGTTCTGCTTCATGCCAGAGGAAACAGACTTCGTTAAGTAGAAAAGCACTATTATTGTTGATTGTTTTTTTTTATTTTGGTTGTTTTTGTACACCACCCAAAGTCACATTGCTCAAATTGGGTGGCTATATAAATTAATTAAAATTTAAAAAATAAATAATAACAATAACATTTATTTCCTAGGTTAAAATTGCAGAGTTTTCACGGACTCCAGAAGATTTCTTAAACAAATATGATGAACTAAAATCGAAGAACACGAGACATCTTGATTCACTTGTGTATTTGCTGTCCAAGCTTACAGAAGACAAAGAGGTAGAAGGTTTACTTTAGAAAGCCCATATAAAAACAATTCTACTTCTTAGTTAGTTGTGTTGAATAAGAGACTAAGAATAGGAGACCAAGCATTAAAGAAGTCAAGATCAAACACAGTTGTGCAGTGGGATGGAGAAAGGAGTAGAAAACAAGGAAGAAGGGAATTCTCTTGCATTCTCAAATTAACAGTATTGAACTGAGAAATACAGCAAAGAAAAAGAAAAATCTATGTTAAGTAACATTAATTTTCCAAGGCCATGTACAGAATAACTTCTAAATATAATATGGAGGTCTTTTCAATTGGAAATGTCACTGGAGATAATCATAGAATGCAGGGGATAAAAGGAACATTGGAAATTATCCTTTCGAGTCCAGGGTTCTCCAAAGTGGTTAGTATCAACCCTCAAGAGTCAGTGGAACTATCCATTGTGGTTGTTATTATTATTTGTAGTACTATTAGTTAAGTGGTATTTATTAAATTTCATATAATAAGTGTTTGAGGTGTGGATGAAGAATCTGAAACCTCACGAGGGAGTCAGTGAGCTGAAGAGATTGCAGTCCTCTGATCTAGTGAGACCCCAGTCAGCTGTCCAATCATATAGCATAGTTAAGTGACAGTGAACAAGTCTTTGTTTACACATCTCTAGAGAAGAAGAATCTACCATCTCAAGATAGTCCGTTCCATTGCTGAATTGTTCTTTCCATTAGGAACTTTTTCTGAAGTCCAACCAAAATATGTTTCCTTAAAACCCATTTAAATGATACAGGGCAGAACTTTTCAATCTTTTCACCCATTGTACCACTTTTAGGATATGGCAACATCCGAGTACCAGCAGTCGCCTAGCAAGGTGTCAAAAACTTGATGACCAAAAAACAAAAAAAAAAAAGAAAGGTTTGCTTAGTGGCTGTTCGAAGTTACAATGGCACTGAAAAAAGTGCCCCCCAAGCCACAGCCGAGCAAGACACCTGCCTGCCCACCCAGTGGCGCTCTTCCTCCTGTCCGAGGTTTTCATTGTTGTGAGCATTTCTGTTGAGGATTGGCAGCGGGGGGGGTGTTGGTTTTTATTCCCCCCGTCTGCTGGGTGGTTGCAGCAGGTTTTGGTCACTTCACATGACCCTGGGACACTGACCATCATAAATATGAATCAGTTGCCAAGCATCTGAATGTAAATCACAACATCTTGGAGATGCTGCAACATTCCAGCTGATCGGCGCTTCTTCTGGGCTCAGCAGAAGCACCAGGATCAGCACTGAGCTCCAGCTGGAGCCTGGCACTGATCATGGCACTTCCGTTGAGCCCTGACAGCCCTGCAGCTCCAGCCATCTCTCGCTCAGGCTTGTGCAGTGCTGCCACCTTCAACTCATTCCCCTCCCCCACTACCACTTTTCTAGGATGGTCACGTACCACCTGCCAGATGCCAATGTACCACAGGTGGTACCCGTACCACTGATTGAAATGCCCTGATATAGGGGATCTTCTGCACAAATGGAATAAATGCCATTCTAAAAAAAATTAGACCTTATTCAAGGATGCTTCAGAAGCTGAATAAAGTTATTAACTGGCACTCACCATAAAGCTAAAAACAAGACCACCTGGGCAAGAAAGCTTTGTGCTACAGAGCCAAAAACTGAATATTTTAACTATATACATTGTGTACAAAATTCATGTTGCCGTACATATTCAAATTCCATAAGAGGTTTCTGGGAATTGCCAGAAGTGCAAGTAGATTCCTAGATATGTTGGTAGCCAAAAGTATTAGTAAATTCAGCAAATAATCAGGAAATCGTATATGTGCTATGAGAAAGACTTTGAAGCATTCATTATTTCTGAATTTTGTTTTTGGACCATTTTAGACTTTGCAATACTTGCAACAGAATGCAAAGGAAAGGGCAGAACTTGCAGCAAATGCAGCAGCCAGCAACAGTGGTAGCAGCAGCCTTGCTTTCTCTGTTCCCTCAACAACTTCTAAAATGACTGTTCAAGAACTAGAAGAGTTACGAAAACAGCTGGGCACTGTGACAACTGGCTCCAGCTCACAGCAGGTCTCTGACATTCTTTCTTTGTTTATTTGCTATATATAAGCCATGTATCTAAAGGACACAGGGATATTCTTTATGATTCCACATTTATTGAGGAATAGGGAGTGAAATGTATTTTTCTAGTAAGCAATTGTGATTTACTTCTTACTAGAAAACCTTTAGAAAGATTGAAACCTTTGGAGAGGGGAAGCTTTTTTCCTCTTTTTTTAAAACAAGATCATTAGAGAGAAAAATAGAAACTTGTAAGTTTCTCCTCAGACTTAAAGTTTTTCACTTTTGCCAATAGATGCTTCTCTCTAAGAAAGTTGTGGAATGCTATTTGAAAGTCAACTGGTTATTGCTAAAAACATCTAGTGGGATTATTTTGGTGTTGGAAGGTGATGTCAGAGATTACAAATAAAATAATTGCTAAAAACTATCTTTGTAATAGAAACAATTGAATAAATTGTGAATGAAGAACATATTCCCTGTCAAGAAACAAAAAATGGGGTTATTCAATATTATATATTTATCAAAAGTTATAAGGAATCACAGGAAACATACATACTCTAATAAATTATTGGGTGGATACTGCAATATGTTATGCATAGGCAATCCCTTGGCAACGTCAATTACTCAAAATAACCCTGAAATGTTTCTTACAAGTTACTTACTTATCTAGTACTCTGTTAACTGTCCTAGCCACTAACTCATACCTGAACCCAGTTCAGTATCTTGATGCTGATTTTTAAAGTCCTGAATCGCTAAATGCCAGACATGATTCTTCCCATATAAACTAGCCTGGCACTTTAGGCTAGTGCTGAAGTTGTGGATGCTTAGAGTGGACTAAGCAATGTTATATGTACAACTTTTAAGCTCATTGTGGAATGTGAAGGTAATATAGACTGGATGAAATTAACTGGTTGAATGGGGTGGAGGGTTAAATGCTTTGTCTATTCAAGTCGAGATGGATGACATCACTCTCTTTATTTATTTGGCCCTGCAGTAAATCAATTGCTAAAAATATTTTATCCTGCTGTGACAAAGACCAATTTGTCTCATCTCTTTATGTGGCAAAAGGCTTCTTTCGTATTAGTTTGATAGGCATTTCACTCACAGAATGCTCATGTCTCTTTTTTCTTTGGCAGCCTCTTGAACTTGTACGAAAGGCACTCCGAGAAAAGCAGAACAAGAAAAATTCTGGCCAGCCTATCCCGTCATTCCCTTCCTGGGTGTATGAGAGACCAGCTCTTATTGGAGACTTTCTCTCTAGTTCTAGTTTAAGTACAGATACAACAGTGCCAATAGGTGGGTAAAAGTGGTGGATTGTAAGAAA